GAGAAAAAACTTGTAGATGCATGTAGAGTGTTTTTTGTTTTTCAAGAATAGTTCTTTGTAATCGTCCCCAATGCATACTGTATCCGCTAATTGCGCATTAGCTCTCCAACCATAGGATTTTTTCAGATGAACGCCTATTGCGCTGGATACACAGACTTCTCTGAGTTGGAGGAGCTTAAGAAACAACATGGGCTCAGCGACAGCCTGGTGGAGCGGGTAAAGCACTTTGCGTCATCCGGCGGTGACCCTAGGAATTGCCACTAATACTACCTCCATTTTCTGGATTATTCTACCTCATTGCCGAATATTCTTGCTTCACTCACACTTTAGACTGGATACGGCAAACTGTCAAAGCTTCACTAGCTCTACTGTGATGTAAATTTTGAATGTGATCTTTGTTGCGAGGTTCAGACATGCCCTTACATTATTCAAGTCGTTGAGCTTCTTTCAAAGTCTCGTTTGACTGAAGATTGCTTTTACTAGGCAGTGTGCACATCATCTTTGTTAAGTTGCAACATAACAACCGAAAAACTTTTCTGTACGTTTTGTAGCAATTTTGTTTTCTGAAAATAAATCTTTGTACAGAGGAGTAGTGTCATGACTTCCCAATCATTATAAGGACTGTACACCCAAATGAATTTAACGTACAGATTACAATCCATTCCAAAATGCCATGCTCAGTGGATATAAAGAGCTCGCTCCGGGCGGCAGTGCAATTTTCCGCTCCGGTCTCACCACGACCAAACTATGGCGGTCGGACACGCCACCTCTTCGAGAAGGCTGGACAACTTACAATAGATCGCATACTGTAAGATACCAACAACAATAACAATTCAGGACCCTCTCTCCTTTTCTCTACATTGTATGTCTATTTCTTCTTGTGATGATATAAATGAACAATTTGTTAAACTCTTTGTACACTACCGCTGAACAAGAACATGGTGTATCGGCCAAAATAATAACTTAAAGCCACGAGTCAGGATTAGGCAACCAGCAGAAGTTCTTCCCAGGGTGCGATAGTGGGCTCCCCAAGCACTGAGGGCGCGACACTATCGCGACCCAAAAGTGCGCGGCAATGGCGCTAAGGCCTTGCCCGCCGCGCTGCCAGCGCTGCTCCACCACGGCATACGATTACGTGACTACTTGAACTCTCCCCTATGTTCTCTGCCGCGAAAGGCCAGAGCGCAGACGATCAGAGAACGGCGCCTGGCTCGGCTCCAAATCCCAATGGAAGGTGAGAGCTCTAGGACTAAGCCTTGGAGGGAGGAGGGACTCCGGAATGGGTGAGCCAATTAAATTGTGGCAAAGTTTGAATGTTTCAGATCACAGTATTCGTAAGCCGCTATTTAAGCGAGAGTGCGCAGGCGGAGCATCAGAATCGCGGCGGTTTAAAGGACTGAGTTCAAGCTGTCCGTAGACACGGCATACGTGGTCTCTGCGTCCTCTCGCGTACGACGTACTATCTCGCGTTCTCCCTCTCCTCGCAGCGCTGTGTCTCTCCGTCGTACTACGGCCGGCCTCCTAAGGGAAATTTAGTGTTTTCTATGGTGCTTTTTGCTTTTTCTCCTCACTAATGTTCCTCATTGCACCCCTTGCCTAATGTTTGAACAAAATAAAGCATCAATTCAATCCCGACTCGTGCCTTTAAAACAACCACTCAACAACGGCAAACACAAGAACACCAATTTGTTGCTTAAAACATACGGAAAAGGATACTGTAGCTAAGAAACTGACCGGGAATGTTTCTCAGGCTGGAATGTTTTAGATGGATTGCGGCCATAACGCTGGGACGCTGAAGGGAGGCCGACGATGCTACAAGCAGTTGGGGGAGATCTACGAAGCCGCCGGAAGGCCTCGGGATCCGCGCCGGATAGTCAGCAGCCGCCCGTCACTTCTTCGTTTAGCCCTTTTTACTCGATGCCTTGTTCTCCGTAGTGATATCTTCACATTAAGCCTATGTACTGCGTCATACACTGTCCAATAAATCTTATATTATTCTATCCACCGTGTGGGCGCAGCACTTACTATACGATTCCATGACAACTTGGCAACAACTAGAAACACTGAAAAAATGACAATAAAAATACAAGTTTATGAAACTGCAAAACAGGTACGAAATTACTACACCGCTATCTGTCAAAACGCATAACTCAATTGAAATTCGAAAAATAAGTCAGAAACAATAGCCACTCTACAAGGAAAATTACAGTAAACAACTAACGGTGGAATGAGAAAGCAACTACCTAGATAGTGCCCACATTTCCGACGACTTTCATCGTTACAAATAAACTAATGTGGGACTGCTGAATGGAACGCTAGTAGCGGGAAAAAGCAGAAAAATCCTTCAAGAAAACGCAAAACGGGACCCTCTCTTTTGGCCTTTTGGTTTTCACTCATGAACAGGTAACAGGTCAAAAGTGGACGAGTTCACCGCAACGCGTTTGGTGGCACTGTGCCAAACTATGCTTTGATCGAGATGCTCCATTTGCGCTGCTGCTGGCAGTGCAGTCAATCAGATGGACACGATCTACATACTTATCTCGCCTGACAACAAAAGACCAAGCCATACAATGTTTCCACAAACACTAAGGTACCTAAACACCTATGGAACCTTTGGACGAAAACCTACCTCCTCGAATTACGAAACCATCACCAACTTCGAATTAAACAAAAAGTTTTACAAGAAAACAACCACATATTGGAGAAGTCGTCTTCATTACGGATGAGGAGATTCCGGGCATGGCTTAGCCCCAACTAGGCCTTCACGCATCTAATTCAAGATCAAGATAGTGCCGTACTCAGTAAAATTGCGAACTTCAACATCAGGACTAGCGCGTTCGATCAACATGTAATGCCGCTAGAACTAGCAGGAAACGGTACTACAATCTTCACAAAATAATGTTACGGATGCTAGCACCAGCACCACTAGCAGTGCTGATGACGACAATTCCAAAGCTATTCCCACATCTGATTCACCAGAACAAGATGCGACGACCAGATCACAAGCGCGACCATTCCTTGCCAACGCAGAAACAAACAAAACCTACAGTAACCACATGGTGACGACCAACACCAAGCTATTCGCGCCGGTTTACAATAACCCAGCGCTATGGAAACATTGGCTTACAATAGCTTTAACAATAACACTTTTCCAATGTACACATTCACTAACCAATCAAGAAAGCATATTTGCAATGCGTTACAGGAGGAATTCAACATACAGGCACTACAATGAGCAGAACGACTGCAAGTTTGTTGGAACGAGTATTGTGTCGATATCGAACAACCAGATCAAAACATAAATGTTCAATTCCCAACCAGAAAGTTACTCTTCATACATTTCATTACCCCCAAATCACTAATAAGAAACGAGACACAAGCGACGCACTGGGCTTGTCCTCCAAGCCCATTTTGTGAGCAAATTACGTGCAATTTCTGCACGCAAATGATTTCCAATCCCGAATGCTGGTGCAGAATCGCAATAGCCTGTAACTGCAACACTGCTCTATATAATTGCAATAACAACATACATCAGCCTCACATCATTACAGAAAGCTTTCCGACTCTGTTCTCGCACACGTACAAAAATGAATTACGTACATTGTTTAGGTGCTGCGGACCAGCCAAAAACCGAGAGCCAGAAGATGAGGTGCATTTCTCGCGACTGACAACACCAACGTCGGACTCGCCACCTCTTCGGCATATGCTATGATACCAACAATACAAGAACATTTACAATTCAGGCTCTCTCTTCTTTCCTACATTGTATGTTTACTTCTTCTTGTGACGATATAATTAAACTATTTATTAAACACTGTACACTACTGGCTTACCAAAACAGATATACCAAAGCAGATAGTTTGAAATGGCCATGCAAGGCAGTTTCAGATTGGGGATGTCATTTTCCTGTAGCAGTTACATGCAGCCGGTGCCCCTTATCTAAGGAAGCTCCCTTTGTCCACGAAGAAAGAACAGTTTCAAAACAGAAAGTTTGTAAAGTTACGGTTCCAGTCAAGCTTATGCGGGTTAGTAAATACGACAGATTGGTGTTAAAGGTTTATTTTTCGACTAGTTGGGCGGAGCAACCACTACGCTGAGGCAGGCATGTATGCGTAGAGGTTGTGCCGATTTTGCTTGTGGAGGATGCGTAGAAAAGGCACTAGGGGTTTATGAAGTATGGCTGGGAATGCCCCGTTTTGCCTTAAAATAAGTTTTACATCGGTGTCTGCGTCTAAGCCCAGAAAGTCAGGTTCTTCCCGCTCTATGCTTTAAGATTGTTGACAACTAGCGCGGAAAGTGAGTCCTATTGGAAACGTTTCCAATACTTTCTCTTCCATTTTCTCTCAGCACAACTTTCAGCAACCACAGTTTCATATTTGAGACCCGCTGATTGAGTGCGCATCGGGAGGTCACGAACCAGCTCGAGTTGTGTGTCAAACAAGTTACACGTCGGCAGGCAATTCACTTGAGCGACACCCTGCTCTGCTTTGCCTTCAACCATGTCTGCGATTTTGTCGTGAATGTGAAATCGCTTCTGTGACCGGGCGCACCTCGTCGTTCGAGATATGTCTCCTCTCCAATGCATCCACAGGTATGGATGGAGGCAATAAGAAAATTTTGCTTATACGCACATCACCAAACTGCCGCACACTGCCCTGACGTTCCCAAAATAGCAAGTCATCTGTCGTCGCCGTCAGCACGAGGTGGCCTACAGTAATACGTCCACTCTGAAAAGCTGCCCAGCTTCTTCAATCGATTCGCTGGTAGAGAGGTTCTAGAGACATATGTAACTCTGCCTATGCAAACCCCTGCCGACCAGCACTTCAGATGACTTCGTCTGATCTCGACGAGGAACTCGTTGAGTTCAAACTGTGCCGACTCTTTTGAAGTCGCCCGTAGAGAAGGCTTTTATGATGTTCCCGATGTTGCTTCACAAGACGGTAGCACTGCTTACCCGACGCAGTAGTTCAAGACTGTCACGATTAAATTTTGAGGCAGATCGCATTACGGGTGCGTCTAATAGAGCTACGATCCCTTCGATTTCAAGTCTTTTTTTCTGAGGCGCACTGCACCAAATTCTCGTCCTTTCGTGTGCCAGTGAATTGCTAGTCTTTTCCAATGAGCATTGAACAGTGTTGCGTGCAGAATTATGTTACGTGCACATAGTTCAATTTTCAGACGTAGTCCACAAAAGAAAAGACGGCGGAAATTGAAGAGATGTGCATGACAGTGGAAATGTGTAAGTATGCAAAAAAGACCGTACAGATCAGCTGAATTTATCACACACACTGGATTAGACAGGAAAATAAGTAAAAACATCTGACACACCAGACCATTCACTTACTATCAAATTAATTCGGAGAGAGGTTGGTCGTTCGTGATTCATTCCACAAATTTTATCATTATCTCGCCCGAATGCTCAAAAAACTTAGCTGGCACTATCATGAGCCATGATCCTGGGACTGAATACTGTATGCATATATATGCACCACCTCAACTGCTGTGGGTCCTCGTGGGCAAAGGCTTTGTGGAAAATTATTGGCGCTGTTGTCGTCGGGTAGGGTATCGTTGTGCGGACTGAGCCTAGGTGGAGGAGTGAAGCTCCGAAAAGAGAAAAAAACGCTTCAGACACCCTCCCAAAATCTTGGAAATCCGCTCTCGAAAATATCAAAGATCGCGACTAATAATCCTCCAAACAATCATGAATCTAGAGTGAGCGTGTTTGACGATACGCAACTGCTTGAACTCACGTCCACGTTCTCTGCCGCAAAATACTTGGGAGCAAACACGCGTGAGGTTCCAGTAATCATGAAAGGTAGAAGACAGCACATGCGATCTAATGAGGACCGAGTCCATGTACCGCCTAAGAGTTGATAAAGTACACTTCTGCATACACCCCCTTTCCCCCGCCAATATGTCACTATGGTCCACTTAGGCACTATTCTCCTCGACTGCTTCGCCTACATTTGCAACATTTGCGTCAAACTGACCCTGAGCCTTAGCCCGACTCTCAATAATCTCAATAAGATGCTTTTTCAGAATGTCATTGGCTCGTGCTTATCTCGGAATGCAATGCTTCTGGGGAGAATCAGCGTTCGCCAAGGTAAAGCTCATTTCCACAAATTTTTGAAAGTCAACACTCCTTTTCAGTTGAAAGGCGTGAAGAAGACCCGCGTAGGGTATGCTGGGGGCACGACCATCATCCGACTTATTGGAACATTGGAGACCACACAGGTTTGTTTGGCACTCACCTAAAATTAGACTTGTTCTTTTGAATATACATTTCCAGAGCATTGAATGAATTTGATCCGTCGATATGATCTACCGCCAGGTACTTGATTTTTTCTGGTCCCATCATAATCCAGCTAAGAGACGGAAGAAACAATACCGGTCGGCAATCCTCTACGAGACGGAGGACGAGAAGAAGATCGCTGACTTGACGTATGATCAGGCGAAGGTGCATACGATGTGTTGGTTAAGGGTTATTCTGTAAATATGGATATATTCAGGCCAAATACGGTGAGATAGAGACGTATGTGGCAAGGCTAGAGAAGTTTTACCAGGCTGAGGCTTATTACCAGAAATACTGGCTCCGAAACAATAGCGACATATTTGACGAAGTAAGTATTCATTGAGTTCTCTCTCAAAAAATCAAACTTCCATAGCGAATTTCAGCTAATGTTGAATGATAACCAAATCATCAACTCCACTCTGGCCGCAAAGGTTAGAAGAATACTCAACTTTTCTTTAGAGTTCTAGAGACGAGCCAAAGGGACTCCTTTATAGTCGCTATGTAGGATAAAATTCTGATATGACGAGTTGACCCCTTGCGTACCGCGTGCTGCACATAGGGCAAAGTGTTCTTTGGAGAAGATTTTCAACATTCTCTCGAGCTATTATTTCCTAAGAATAAAGTTATGAATCCGGACAAGAACATTATGTGTAGACGTAGGAGAGCGTAGTATGAAAAATTCTTAACACCGGCAGTTGCTGTGAGAAATATGAATCGCATCCTCACTTTCTTGCCAAATTATTAAAACAGATACACTGCCGGTACGATGGTTTCGAACACCTTCAACATTTGGAACATCTTTATTTTGACCACACATTTTCTGTAGCACTTTCGATCACCTTATTCATCATGCTTTAATGACTGATTCCACTTAACTATACACGAAATACTGCAAATATTTAATAGAATATGTGTATGTGCAGTTTTATACAGATCGCACCAAAAGCATGTGGACACCTTGAAACCGACCTATGGGGGCACCTACAGATTCATTCTCATAAAACCACTGTCATTCAACTTCTCGGGGTCGATATCCTGGCACGGTATTTTCGGCTAATGATTTCTTTACATCTTATTGTTAGCAAATATTCGCTGGATTTTCCAACCGATTTTCTAGCTATTTTTTGGGTTAACTCATAATTTCTAGCCGATTTTTGTCCTTCAGCCAATATGTTTTGTAAGCTCGAATGACCCACGAAATAATTAGCTAGGAATTGAAATAGGTCAACGACAAAACCAACAATGATGCCTTATGACATTTAAGAAGAACCTTGCAAGGAGAGCGGTAGGCAAGATCAGCGCTATGTTTGCCCCAGTCTTTGGTACTGACTGGGCACTAAGCTATTGGACACTATAGCTATCGCATACGAGAAATTGAATGGTGCCGGATCTATGGGCAAGAGGCAAAGATATTTTATGAAAGAAAAATTCTGGGTGTCCACACACTTTTGTTACGCACTGTCAAGTCCATAGATGTGTATGATATGAATGAAAAATTTATATTCATCTCTCAGTTTGCAGGCGCCGGCCACACATGCCGTCTAGTGAAAAAACGACCCGTTCGCAAAGGGTTAATCAGTTGAAAACTCTTAATTGCCTGGCTTTTGACTTCTATTAGAGTTTTTAGATGAATGCCTACTGTGCTGGATATACAGACTTTTCCGAGTTAGAAGAGCTGAAGAAAGAGCATGGACTCAGCGATAGTCTCGTAGAACGGGTGAAGCAGTACGCGTCGACTGGTGGAGATCCGAGTGCTTGTCACTACGGTAAGATTGCTTCCTCATTCGTGACCACTTCGTCAGTCTCCTCTTCGAAGTAGTTACTCATTTTAAGCATGTGTATCATTTTTCTTCAATAGAAATAATCCTTCACGGAAAACTCTTCTCTTTCCCAACATGAGTGTGTCTGGTGATCACTAGAACAACATCCAAAGCTTCACGCACCAGAATTCAGTTCCGAAGAGAAAGAAACACGAACACCACACTTCATGGATAGTCGAAGGTAGGCCGACTGGCGCCAAAGGCGGGGCATGGAAGGAAGTGCGCTTTGGGGCGGACCACGTATCAGGCGACGCATTGGAAGAATCGGGTTAAAGCGTTCGATTTTGGAGAATAGAGACAAAAAGATCGATAGATAGGATGCAGTAGAAGTGTGAGATATAGCAATAAATCAGAAGAAGTTATTGACACTGACAGTGACCGACTCACCGTGAGCCAAGTGAGAAAGCGTTCATTTCTCAGCTATTTGTGACAGCTGTACGGTGGGAATTCGAGCCCGTAGCAGCTCTTCCGGTTTTTCGAAACTGCTTACCAAAAGAATGGCAATTTTTTGTTCTTTTCGTTCTTATCGTAAAGGAAGAGTCCCAAGCCAGAGGTTCATGGCAGAGATAGAATCATACTTTTTGGGAAAGATTCTTTTAACTCCAATTGCGATTAATTTTACATACGCTCCCCTGCATGACTAATTAGTCTATCTCAAGGTTTTTTCTTTCTGTCTTTATTTCGCCAATCCCATCTCACTGATGAGCTCCAGGGAATAAAAATAATAAGATTTGTCTGAGGAAGGAGCAAAACTAAACGCTTTAGTTCTTTCGTTCACCACCATTTTCTTTCTTTGTAAAAACATAAAAAAGGATGGAATGATAAAGCTTCGGCATTGACAAACCCTTTTTGAGATGCGCTACGCATTCTCCTTACATTTGCAATCGCAGTTTGAATGCGTTTTGGTCTATGACTCACGGGACCGGTTTTCAATCCAATCTTTATCCTGTCAGACAAGTCTGGTACCAAGTGACTGACGAGAAGGGAGACTTGCGTGGCTTTGGCGAGATTCTATCCAAGATTTGGCCCCTGATCGTGCGTGTGAAAAGTGGCACCAATTGCCACTACATCAACGTCGTTGCCGGTAAAATAAATGTCAGAATGAAAGAAAGACTAAAAGAAAGAATAACCGTTCCATGTCAGAGTACTCGCAAAAATATGTCTAACGATATGTAACATGAATGAAATTGAATTACCATAACGATGCGGTGCTATCATTCTTCACAAACTGTGTGTTCATCCCATACCTTGCTTATCCGGCCCTTTCGGAGAATTTCAAATAGAAACAAAATGAGTGTTGGCAATGGCGATGGCGCTGATGCAGTTTACCCTAACACACTAGGGTATGAGAGAATATGCTCATACAGGTGCCAAGTAGACTGTACCTTGCCCCATTTCACCAACTTTCAGTACAGTTCCATTTACTCGCCAAAAAAGTGGGTAAGAACGGAATGGAACACGGAAAAGTTATAGCCACTAGATTTTCGTCTATTCTTGAGATCATAACGAATACGGTTTCTGATCACGGCCTAGCGCGAACCTCAGAGTAGTGCGCGCAAAACACTCTAGTCATTCAGGGTTCATATCTAACCAAACATGAACTAGATGGGAATTCCCTCTTAATTGCCTACAATATGAAGTCACTTCTCCAATCTGAGACGATCCGTCCAATCACACCTGATGTCAGCTGTCCCTTAGCTGTTTTGATTGAATGAAGATGCGGTACTTCATTCCGTAGGAACTCAGGTGATGTATTCGATACAATTGAACGTATAGAAAGGAATGCGAATTCGCTCGATCGTTTATCATTACTTATCCTTTCATGTTTCAGGCTCCGAAAACGGCGAAACCGCTGAAACATTGGCCAACGAAACAATATCAGCAACCTCGTGAACATTCAAATGAGCCATCCAAACTCTTCCTGGATCTAATTACATAGTTGCATCATTTGCTCATTCTGCTTGCTTGTTTTACCATATGCTCACTGTCAACATTGTTTAACTGCTACAAATGTGATTAATTGTGCCCAAGTTATTTTGAGAACTTCATCTTCGCACAGCATAAATCACGTGCACACAAACAGAACGAATTGAATGGATTTAATAAAACCTTTGTTATTTTGTGAGGCTTCCACTCATAAATGTGAAACCGAGTGAATGTATGGAAAACTATTGATGGCACGGTAAGAAGCGGCAAAATAATGTTTTAGTGGACACATTGAGTTAGTGCGAAATTATCCAGCGTTTGACACTAGCCAGTGGCTTCTCTACTTTTGTCGATTATTCAGCTTACTCGTGCGCAAAAAAAGGATTATTGAGATTGCATGAGTATGAGTCCAACTCAAAGAAGATCGCTGCTGAGAAGCTTCTCGCCCGATCAGTAAAGCAGATAGAAGTACAGTTTCTAAGATTTTAGCCAGAACGCTAAAGGATTCTCCACCGAATGCAAGTCTTACGCCGGAACTCTGACTCACTAGCGAGAAGCTGCCCAGAAATCTAGAGAAGTTGTTTCGAGTGCCTGCTAATATCTTTTTTACTCACGTGCAAATCCTATTCTTGCACAAATACATCGACAATTGTGGTGCACACGGCTGGTAAATGTTACAGCCACACATAAATTACCAAAACTCGCAACAAGATGTTTTTGAAAGAATTCCAGTCAGAAAATGTGACAAACTTCAAAACGAATTTCTAAAAACATCAAGTTTCGAGTCGAAAAAGTGAATTTTTTCTCCAATTTTTTTGAAACCTCCTCTTGCGTACTAGTAAAAATCATACAGCTACCCCAATATTTTCAGTTGGATTTAGATTTTGCTCAGGAATTTGCTCGATTGTTATTTCAGGTGATAACAGTAGAAAAGCATCTGGAAAATAGAAGCTTCTCCAGAAACAACGAAAAACGAACCCGTGTAATGAACAATTTTAAACACAATTACATGGTCCAATGAAATTATTATAGCCAAGATAAACAAATCAATGAAGAAAGTATGTAAAATTACGGGTCTCAGCAAGTTATCTAAGGACCATACAGGAAATGAATCTAGAAAAGCTCTGTCTGTCCACTTTCGCTTGTGATCAGGATAAATACTACATGGAAACATAGCAGGCCGGATGCCCGAGAGTGAGAAGGACGAGTTCTATCTGAGCTTGACGATGCCATCAGATCGATTCCGGAAGGCGATTACCTGACCATAGCAGGTGATCTGAATGGGCACGTCGGCAGCGAGAAGAGGTCTTGAAAGGGTGCACGGAGGTAGAGGAATAGGAGTGAGGAACGCCGAGGGAGAGAGGGTCCTGGACCTGGCTACTGCCCACGATCTGGCAATCTGCAGCACGTTCTTCGCGAAAAGGGAGACTCAGAAGGTCACCTACAGCAGTGGAGGGAGACAGACGGAAATCGACCATGTACTGGTGAGAAGATCATCCCTCAAAACTGTGAAGGATATCAAGGTAATTCCTGGCGAAGAACTGGCTCCTCAGCACAGGCCCCTCCTGGCAGACATAGCCATAGACCTTCCCAAGAAGACAAGGGTAAGAACCGAGAGGAGAATCCGGTGGTGGAAGTTGCACCGAGCAGAGAAGAGCGACCTCAAACGAAGGATAATGGAAGTTGGTCTCCCAGATCCTGAGGGACCAGTGCAGCAGACTTGGGCAATGCAGCTGAGATCATCCTACGATGCGCCAAGGAGGTACTGGGCGAGACGCGAGGTGGATTCAGAGGAGACAAGGCAGCGTGGTTCTGGAACGAGGAGGTCCAGCGAGTCGTGAAGCAGAAGAAGGAAGCATACAAGCGCTGGCAGAAGACCCGGAGCCCGAGGACCTCGCTGCCTACAAGAGTTGCAAGAGGCTCGCTAAGGCAGCCGTCGCCAAGGCGAAGAACACGGAAATGGACGCCTTGTACGAGAAGTTGGAGAGCCAAAACGCAGAAAAGTTCGTCTTCAGACTGGCCAAAGCCCGGCATCGGGCTACCCAAGACATAGGGTGGTGAAGAGCGTGAAGAGCAGTAACGGTGCCATCCTGAGGAAGCCAACTGAAGTCAGGAGGAGGTGGGAGGAGTACTACAAAGCGCTCCTGAACGAGGAGTTTCCCACAAAGACAGCTCGCAAGCAGAGGCGACGGCTGGCCCTATCTCACTATGGACAGAAGATGACGTGACGCGATGGACTGCTCCAACTGCCGCTGACTGCTCATACAATGAAGCTGTACGAGCGACTGGTCGACTCGAGACTGCGGGAGCTGGTCCCGATCTCCCAGGAACAGTTCGGGTTCATGCCCGAAAGGTCTACTACGGATGCCATCTTCATCGCGAGGCAAGTGATGGAAAAGTACCGAGAAAAGCGCCGACCCTGCTACCTAGCCTTCCTTCGACCTGAAGGAGGCAACCGACTACCTCGAACAGTACCATGGAGGGCGCTCAGAGAGCGGAACTGTGCCAGAACACCTGATCTCTCTGGTGAAGGACATGTACGATGGGAGCAAAGGCAGCTATGCGCACCCCACACGGCCTAACGAAGGAAGTAGACACCACGGTTGGAGTGCACCAAAGATTCTGAGTCCGTTCCTGGCTCTTCCTCCTTACACTAAATGTCATGGTGAGGGGTCTTATGGAAGGACCATTGAAGACCATCCTTTCGTCCCATCGAGGGAGTCCTCATCCTGACGACATCACCCTGATAGCGCAAAAAAATGACAGGGAGTGCTGGCAGAAGGTGGGCTTCGGCTGAATGTCAAAAAGACCAAGTTCCTGAGCTCTGAAGAGGGATTAGAGCCAATCGTAGACGGCCATGGAGAGATCATCGAAAGAGTGGAGGACTTCAGATACCTCGGGAGCGATCTGGCAGCCGACGGAAGTGTGGATCAGGCAGTGAAGGCACGAATCAACGCGGCCTGGATGAAGTGGAGGGAGTCCACTGGGATCCTCTGCGATCGAAGGTGCTCCAGAACACTGAAAGGAAAGGTGTATCGGGCAGTGGTGAGGCCTGCGATGCTATACGGCAGCG